TATGCTTTGTATATTTTCTTGATTTACGATTCTAAAGAATATGCTAATGATTTATATGCGACGACCTCATGTTCACCATCCATTTCATCTTTCAAATTACCAGGCAATTTTTGTTCATCGTCAATTTCATGTACAAAATAACTAATCGTCTATTTACTACAGATAGTGTTCGCCGACCACTCCCGACTCGAAAGGAGTGTATGACAGTGTAATTTATTGCTCTGAAACAAAAGATCTTATTATTTACACTCCTCTGAACCCTCACCTTAACGAACAGTCTCAAATTATAAGTAAAGAAGAACGTCTAAGTGATCATTCCTACTCTTGACAATTCCTGTTAATTGTATTGTACGTCAAGAAGGAATAAAACTCTTCAAAAACAAAATAATAAACCTTCATTACAATTCGACCGTGCCACACAAAGCTATCCCTCAAAAAGAATCCCATAAAAGTCACAACACTGCCACTACTTCATTTTCACGACTATATTGATAAATTTTTAGGATAAAACTTGATCAAAGAACTGTATTTTCCCAATTTGGCGCAAAATAACTTTTACAATTCTCCACAAAGTGCATAAATTTAAAAACTGGAAAATTGAATGTATCTTTAAACCACTTTTTCATGCCAAAGCTCTATGAAATTTTCCTCTACTTTTCGTTATAGCATATAATAACATAAAAAAAAACGAAGTATGCTGGCTAGACACTAAAACAAAGCACTAACTTCTTATGCCAAAAGACAAAAAAATTTTGGCATTAACAAACAATAATATACTTGAGATTTGTTCCTCATGGAATGAAATGGCAGAGAAAAAAGAATGAAATGCCAAAGAATGGTAATTACTAACGAAAGCCTCATGAGAAAATACTACCCCAGAAAAATCAGAAATTTTAATGGAGAATTTCTGATTCTCTTTTTCAAGCAACCCTTCATAATATGTGATCGAAAATTCTTTCTTCGTTTAGTATATCACTTTAAATCACTAGGAATCGTCGACATAAAAAAAACATCTATTTTATCAATTTCATCGCGGAGGTTTTAAAAATAATTCATCAAATTTACTGTAACTAGCAATAAATATAATTTACAAATTGCATAACTATATTATAGAGCCAATAATAAAACCAAGTTAAGTACTTTGTTCCAATTTTTCAAGTACCACAGACTGAGATATTATTAAATAATTAAATGGATTAAATAGTTTGCTTGTTATTCAGTCTTAAAAATCATTAACGATGCAGTGTTTTTTCATTCATAAACACTTTAACAGTCCCAATTTTCTATTCGAAAAATTGATAAAAAAAATAAAGTACCCTCTTGAATTCCACGTCTGCCTTCTTGAAGTGTGAACAACGGTAAGTTACCGGTTGGTGTAAGTCCCTTCAGTTGTAATACAGACTCACTTTCTTCTCTGAAAACAAACGCATATGCGAACTGAGATATGCTAGCATCACAACGCTTCTGCGCAAATCTAAGGCTTAACTGAATGCCGAATAAAATACTGTCAAAACGCATGCACCTACCAGACAAAATTAAGAACAGAAAACGAAATAATTGAAGCTGCCGAAAAACATGAGAAAAGTTGGTTAACTGGTATAAAAAGGCACAGGAAATCTACCACAGAAATATCTAAATAAAGCTGGTCTTTGTCTTAAAATAAACATACGCGAAGGAAATTTACATTTCAAGAGATCAAATCAGCTATACAAAAACCTTAATATTGAGAAGGCGCGAGCCATTTTACCGATTGCTCGAATTTTATGCCGAATTACTTCCTTCCGCGCTGACGGAACACCACCTGAAGTAAAAAGGAGGAAAATATATATATGGAAACTCATCTTCTGTGAAATTTTCTCCATCAATAATTAAAAATGATTCAGCCATAAATAAACACTAAAAATTATTATCCGCCACAATAAAACTTCAAATATTAAATATTTCGAATGGGTTAAAAAAATAAACAAACTATGAGGATCCTATGGTTACATGCAATAAACGTTTCTTAACTGGCAACGGCAGAAAAGAAAAACAGCGATGCACCGAAACATTTTCCCTATCATGATATAACTGCTTTACATAACTTTGGTGGATAATATCCGTGGAAAGGTAGTTCAACTATGGATTATGCAAAACACGCTGTTACGAGGTCATTTAGGACTATGACTATGGTGGCAAATCGACAACTGTAGGTACATTCCTGACAGAGTCGGAAAATATGCAAAGAATTCATTCAAGTAACAAATAAAAGCAAATTAAAACTTCAGAATTTCAACACATGCAAAAAAATGTCAAAACTCACTTTCGCCGCCTAAGAATAGGTATGAACAGGTTATAACAAAAAGGAGAGGTGCTTAGACGATATACAATATTTTATAAAGTAGACCGCCTCAATTAAATTCATAAACTTAATTTCTTAAACTGAAGATACCAGAGAAACAATGACAATGGGCATAATGAAAAGGAAGAGGACAAAAGCAAGGTAACGGAATACGTCGTTATCACACTTATGAATTTACAACATCATGAAGCAGATTTAAAACATCAGCTCGGAATCGAAAATTTTCAAGAAATAAATTCTACCGATACAAGGCTATTTTCTTTTCGATCTAAATAAACTAAAATTTGATGTAATAGAAACATGCAATAAGCCAACATAACAAAAAATTATTTCAGTTTCCACGAGTCAATGAGAGAGTATTCCGTATCGAACTTTGCTAGTGTGTTGTATTAAGACTGGTAACAACATCATCTCTTTTTTAAATGAATTTTGAAAGGGTCAGGCTCATGTACGAATTATTAGCAAGCAGTGAGCATACTTGATTATTTCACACATAATCACGAAGGAAAAAGATTTTTTTGGACTGAAAGTTTTTAGAAAGTGACGTGCAGCAGCAACAAAGATGGAACGACACTAAAAGTCTATTAAAATATGCGTTAATAGACATCTATATATTTAACAGAACAAGACCAACTCTACAACTGAGCGTACCTTCAAAAGTATCATCCGAATCGGCCATAAGTTCATCATCCGAACAAATATTTAATATATGGACGAGCATTTCGGTCACTGAAATTAGTTTGAAGTATAATTTTCTTTACTGTTTTTCTAAAAATACTTTAGACTTTTTTTTATTTTCAATCAGTGAAGAATGTAAACAGCAAATTATGAAAGAAAATAAATTTTTCTAAAGAAGACATCGAAGCAAGACTATGCCACATCATGTGTTGTTTCTTCAAATATTTAATTACATTTATCACTTGGACAACCTTTTTCCCCAACGAAAGGAAGAGACCATGTAAATACGTCCATAAAATTAGGCAGCCAGTATGGATGCGGTGAACAATTGAACTGCCGTATATTCATCACATTATTTTCATATTTTAATATCGCGGCTACAATTTTTTCCATTAGGTGCAATGCGTATGAATAAATTTACTAGCAATTATACGAACAGTAATATTTGCATAATCTATATGATCATGACTATTTGTTGAATATACCGACAATAAATATTTTTTTAAAATTTATAGCTAAAAGAGACGGGACAAGGAACAAAAAGATAACCTTTGTTGTTATATACATCAAGATAATTTGGAGCACTAAATATAGTTATTAGAGAAGGGAACCCGGTTGCTTGCGATTTTCGATACATTCGATACCTAAAAGAAGGAAAAATTTCCTAAAAAAAATAAGTGACAAGAAAAACGCATGTGGTGCAATGACACTGTTCGTATTCGTAATGTACAAAATAACTTCATTATAAAATTTGATTTCCAAATCTTCCTCAATATTTATAATGAAAGAATATAACTGAATATATATTATAAAATTAACGAAAAATATTACCCGGCATCTTGGGCTTCGTGAGCACGGATAATTGACAAGAGGTTATTATGCTGCAAGAAATCACAACATGCTGCATAGCTGCAAAATAAATATATAGTAGCTGAATATTCTGCTCTTTGTACGCTTACAAATAGCCTTATCTGCTCCATCCCAGGAACTCTATCCTACCCATGATGACGGCAGTAAATCGAAAAAATTCCAAAAAAACCTAAATCTGATTTTCCAGTATCTGTGTACAATTTTGCTGACTCTCTGATCTTATTTACAAATACACTTTCAATATATTTCACCGGAATCGTAGACATCAGTCAATTTTATTGGCTTATTTTCTTTTCCTCTTTATCCTTCTCATACATTAAAAAAAAAACAGTGTTAGTTCTAAATAAAACATACAAAGGATCTTGCAACTGAGTAAAAACCGTAGCAATTTGATGATCACGGAAATTCTTGAACAAAACAGACCTATAAAAATACGAACATCCACGGACAGAATTATGCGAAAACTGCTCCGAATTCCTTTCACTGCCAAAATCTTCCAGTGGATCAGACCATAGTAAATCACACATGGGTCCGAAAGCTGGTGGTTCTTTGAATCGATCCAACTTAATAAAATTTTGCTCAAACTACCACAAACTCTACTTTGGATTGTTCTGCACATTAATTTTGGCATCGAAAAAAACATAGCATCAGTAAAAATATAAGATAAATTTCTACTTTTAAAATAAATTTTTTAAAAATGTTTTTGTAAGTTTATACCTTTTTAATATCTTCTAAGGTATGAATCTCAGGAGAAAGGCCGCCGTGGACACAAAGGAACTGCTGATTCATAAGTGCTGCAAGAGGAAGAGCATCAAACGAATCCATACAAGCATCATACACCTTTTCTGAGTATTTGATTTTACCTGAAAAAAGTAAGTTTCCTTTTGCAGAAAATTTCTATTTCTAAAAAAACTGAAGGTTTTGAATTCAACAGCAGTTCTTTAATTTAAATTAAAAACGACAAATCTGACTTACACTCTTGTTTAAAAGTGAAATATTCTGTAAGATGACGGCATTCGTGATTTCCACGAAGCAAAAACAACGTTGTTGGATAACAGATTTTAACTGCCCACAAATATAATACGCATTCGATCGAAAAATAACCCCGATCAACGTAATCTCCCAAAAAAAGATATTTAGTCGATGCAGGCGATCCTCCCACCTAAACTATAAAGCATTATAAATTATTAATATTGGTCAAACAATTATTTTTCTAAACCACAAAGAAATCAGTAGGTAAAAGTGAACAAATTAATCTATCATAACAAAAATTATGTAAAGAAATAACTTTCGTATCTTCAGTAACCCTGAAATTAACCTTACTAAGTCTTGAAATCAAACTCGGGATTGAATGACGATACAGAAGTGTATTCTAGAAATTATAATGTAACTTAATCTGAATGGCTTATAACGAGTCAATAAACGCAAGTGAATTTATTTAAATAAACTTTTAGAAAGTACCTTAGATAAATCTAATAATAAATTAAAAATTAGAAAATCCGATGGCTTGCTAAATGTATTAGCAATATGTCTTCACCATAATGAATTCCTCTTTTTAAACATGGCTGATCAAACTAATCAAATTCTTCCATTAAAATTCTTTCCAGAGATTTTTAGAGAACTAACAAACCTCAAAAAGTTTCATTAAATCATAAAATTGTCCATGTATATCACCACATACAGTAACCGGTGCTTCGACGTCAAGCATTGTTTTTTCCTGACGAAAAAGGGACGTGCATTCCGAAATTATTCGTAATGCAACCTAAACAATGTATTAACAGTAATAAATTTTATACGGACTTCCGCAAATTTAAGATACAATAATTGACTAACTATCTGAAGTAGACTTACCAATCCTAAAGTTTAAATGAATGAAAATTTCATTCATTTTAGAATCTTTGACGCTTTACTTTTATCGCTCCAAAGGCACTATGTCTGTATAGATGATATATAATGAAAAGGCGATATCTTAAATTAAAAATCTGACTCACGGATCTGATAGTGAGTGACTCAAAAGATTATGAAAAAAACATAAATGAAATGACTACCTCTTCCTGGATGCGGCCTTCCTTGGTAAAATGCTCCTTCAAAATATCGGAACGTGGTTTCGATGTCCGCCTATCGTAGACATCCTCCATACTCAGTTTTTCGCTAATTGGAAATTGGACGCCTTCAAAGCAACAGTTTTGTGGTATTCCAAAGAAAGAACTTTCATATGGTGGAATGACAACAAATTCTTGGTGGTATAGGTATTCTTTTATATTTCATTACAAAATACTCAGAAAACGGCAATGTATGAAAGTTCGTTAACAGAGAGAATACATACAAATTAAGATTTTTATTCTTTCTCCATGAGATAAAAAAAGGACAACATTGTATTCTTATAAATTTCGTAATTCTTTCAAAAATTTGACTTTATTTTAGCAGTATTTCCAGTTTAATTGATGAAATCTTTTTACACTTTTTATCGATCCTCGAATAAATACGGATTTTACAACATACTTTTAATGGCTCGTTCCATAGTAGCCTTATTTGACGCTTTGGTACTATTGGAGTTGACCATGGCAGCACTATCGCCGCCAGCTGAAGTTGTTGCCATTTACGTATAGCAGAAGGCACAACCTTCACTGCGTGCTTATTAAACACGCATTTAACGTAGCATAAGTTTTAATTAATCAATGCTATGATTTTCTTGCAATGCGAACGATTCCTTTCCAATGCATCCAATCTGCAACAAATGTTTTCTTTCTACTGTTACTTTAAAAAAAAAACTGAAATTAGATAAGGTTTAGAGATTTCTGAAATTCTCCGAATAGTTTGTTACGTAAAGATCGATACGCACGCGTAACATAGAACAACTGTTAAATGGACGAAAATGAAAAAAAAAAAGTGACAATGACCTCTATATCACTCATATAATAGTAACAGTGATTCTTAATGAATAATTCGGAACCTATGGAAAGAAAAAAAAATGCATTATACGGTGACAGGATTTTACTAACCCAAATAAATAGTCAGATATTTGATTTTGTTAGAAACACACCCTGCGACAAGTTTCCTAAATTCCAAATTCAAAATATGTGTAATAATGTGTAATGGGCGTTTATCTATTTTAAATACTATCATGTTTTTATTTGAAACAATTAATGGAATGGGTATATAGTAAAGGCATTATTTTTCCCCCGTTCCTTTCTCGTGCTTTCTCCACTTTTTATTTATCATTTATCTTCTGAAAGGCTCAGATAAACTAAAAAGAGAAGGATGCGAATTAGGTCCAAGATTGTTCAATTAATTATTAAATCGTAAAAAATGTGACTGACTGTAAGTCATTTTCTGAAAGGACATGTCCAGTCATTATCAATGGAGTTGCATTGATTGGGAGAGATGTTTGAAAATGATGTGATACAATAATGTAGAGGTTTAATTAGGACTGTACTAATTACTATCACGAAATACATCCGAACATTCACGTGATATCCCCTCACAAAAGTTCATAGACCTTTGCAATTCGGTCACAAACCGCTCGTAGCACGTGACGTAGAATTTGATTGGTTGTGATGTTATGGACACCTGACACTGAGTAAGTTAATGGTGTACTGTTTGTGACATTTCATCCTGAAGGTTCAGTTGCTATTCAAAATCTTTCATCCCAAAAAGCTTCATTTGCGTAGCACGTGCCTAAGATTGATGTAGTCAACGAATTTTTAAAATTTCGACCGGACGTGAGACGACTGCGAAGAGCAGTTTAATGGATAGGATATATTAGTGTCCCATTAGTGACATCTTCTTCATTTTCATCAGGAGTATTTGATCCTTTGATGACACTTCAGGCCTCATCAAGATGACTTGCAAAGACTCTTGGGCCAATCTGAAATTAGATAAAGATGGATGTTCACATGTAACCGTGAACTATATAGGTTGAGCGGCATATAGGCTAAGTGATTTCATGAATGGGATACATGTTTGGACATATCTTCTGGATAGATGAAATGACATAGAAATTAACCACAAGTTGAAATTACTAACAAAAATGAAATTCTCTTATCGATTCCCCGAGACTGTTAATAATGATATCTAGTAAGACGAGAAAGTAAGTCACAATACGATTGACGGAATCGCACTGAATTGTCACACAGCTCTTGTAATCACTGCAAATAATTAATATTTCTTAATACGTCAGTTACATGTCGCAAGTTGCGTGGTACCTTCTCAAACTGTTCTTAATGATAGTTTCCGAAAATCTATGTGTGATCATTACAGAAAAAAAGAAAGACTTAACGACATGTGGCAAAAAAAAGAACGCCTTATTATTCTGCCTCTTTCGTTAATTAATGGCTAGTTTTTTTTAAAAAAAGCACTTTCCAGGATAGGATTTTATCAGGCATCCATAACAGAGCTATTTTTGAACGAGCAGTAATGGAAAAAGTAATAGTTCCCATTTTCCCTCATGTAAGAGGTCGATAAATGTTGAGAGAATAGCCCAATCAAACTCGCGGAAAGGTGTCAATTAGTTGATGACGTAAGTACATGTTGTCATTTAGTACCAGTAATGCAACCAATTCATCAGCCTATATGTTCAAAGTACCAGATAAATGTGCATAAACTATACTACAACTACAGGCATAAATTTCTGCAATTCAATTTGATATTTTAATGACGAACTACCGCTCATTATATCCGAACTAGCGTGAACTTTTGCAAAATTTTCGGCATAGTTTGACTTGTGTGGTAACATTTTGTACTTACCATGGTCTTACTCAGTGACAACTATAAGTTAAAACTAAGATTTGAAAAATGAAACCGGAAAAAAGTTGACATAACATACTCAAGAAACGGAGCTTTCTGTTTTCTTCAACAAGATTTCAGATTCGCAAATTTACTTCAAATTAACAATAAACAAAATTGCTGGATGATGGGAATTGTAAGCAAATTGCAATCCGAAAATTTTGGAAGCTGTAGAGTATTTCTCGAAATATTCTCATTTATTCAACACAATTTCAGCTAGGTTTAATTTTAATCTATATGTCTATATACCGGCTGTTTAAAATCAAGAATCTTAAAATTAATTTCCAAAAAATTTTCAAATATCATCCTTGTCTGATAGTATACCAACTATCTATTTTTCCTCAAAATTGTTATAAATTAATCACCACAATCGACTGAGCAAAGTTTAGCTCAATGCTAGCCTAACTGCACGCCGAAGACGTTTATGATGTTGGTCGTTAAATTATCCTTTTTTTCATCTGTTGTTTTGCCTGTTCGTGGCAGTAATCAATTATCTCAAGGAAGAAAAAAATTTTGAATTTAATTCATAATAAAGGCATTAATTTTTAATATTTTAAGTAAACGAAATCGGTTCAACTTTTAAATATTTTAAATATTTTAAGTAAACGAAATCGGTGCATAACATCCATTATTATTATACCAAAAGTTAAAACCAGATGTTCACATTTGGTGAGATGAATATTTAGAAAAAGAGAAAAAACAATCACTGGAAACATAATCAATGGATGAACAAAACGGAACATCTCATATCGTATTTATCTCATATTTAACTCTTATATCTTATATTTAACATCTCATATCGTCGACCGTTGATAGAACATTGCGTGAATGTTAGAAGATACACCTAATTAGACGACAACTACATGTGTTTGTTCTGATCCTTATCTAATATTTGATATTTACAATAAATGAGTGTCAAAATGAAATCTTTGATGCCAAACAAATATACAAACTAATGCCCGGAAATAGGAAATTTTGGAGTGAAATGCACAAAGTAAATGAGCCGATAGGTAAGCAGTGAAAGTATGAGGTGTGGAGCATTAGTGCTCCTTCAAGCTGTATGTACGACTCAAAATGATTGAAACAGATGTTTTCAGAGCAATAAATGTTCCAAATGCCCCATCAGCCAACACGAAACTTGTACATCCTAACTCGCTTTCTTTCTTCAAAAA